CTTATTCTCTCAAGTGCAACACTTAAAGAGTTATCTCTGATCATGAAGCCTCCTTTGCCTCTCCAAGTCAACAAGTGCCACTGAGGAGGGCTCAGCGGCCCTCCACGTTCCTCCCATCAGCTTCCTCGCGTTGGCCCTCATCACATCATGCCCAAATTACAGAATTTCTGCAATCACCTTCTGCCTCATCACCCTTCCTCTATTCTCTCCTGTTTTTAGTCTAAAGTTGGTCTGATGACCATCCATTCATTTAATAAATATTTATTAATGACCTACAATGGATGTTAAAAGAGACACCTTCTTGAAGCTTACAAGCTAGCAAGGAGACAAACAAGCACAACTAATTTTTTTTTTTAAATTACATATTATGCGCATCAAAAGAAAGAAAATCGGCTCAGATTCTTATAATCTAGCCACTGCTGGGATTCTTATAATCGAGTCACAGCTTACTAATGTTCAGACTCCAAAGAGTCTGCCCAATATGATGGATGTTCTAATAAACCTTGTCTTTGGTTGAAAGAAGGCTTGGGTTGAATTCTTTCAGGCGGGACCCATGTGTTGTAATTTTGGGGTCCCAGCACCCCAAACCTCTAAACCTCATCAGTCTCAATGGAAGCAGCATCAGAGATCTAAGGCTAGTGATTAATAATAAAGCATATAAGCTGTAAGTAGGGAAGATCTTACTATTTTGATCTGAATTCATTCCACGGCCTAGCAAGAGTTAAAATTATGGTTTGAACTTACTATATGTACAGGATTCAAGCTCTGAAAGTGTTTCATTCTTTCAAATTAAGAATGGTTAGATAAAAAAAAATTTAAAAAGAATGGTTAGAGAAGGATAAATAAGCTTGAGAAACAGAAAGGCAAATCTATTTACAGCAGCAACTTATGATCTTAATGGAAGTTTGATTTTACTCAAGATGTTATTAGGAACCAGAACATGTGCAGGAAGTTATGCAAACTACTTAGAGCTCACTTTGGAGATGTTCCCTAATTAATGTGAAACTATAGTCACATCTGAAACCCTGATGAGGAGAATTTGCTATCCAAGATCTTGGGGACTGTTAATGAACTGTTGTTCTGAGTCTAACTCCAGGTATGGTTAACTAGGAACTGATTGAGCTACTCACCCATGACATCAGCAATCTGCAAAGAGGTTCATGAGCTGCACCTGTGAGCTGCAAGGGGGTGTTCTCATGGGAAAGGCGGCAGAACGACTTTTCTGCAAGGCTGAGGTAGGATTCTCCTGACTCAATTTCCCCACTATGGCACCTGGCAGACTTTAAGCCTGGTTCAATGCAGTTGGTCATATATATATCTATAACTTCTGCCTGGAATTGACATGAATCTAAGGAAGCACTGTTCCCTTACTTGTTCCCTATTCTTTCACGGCAAATTCCATTAATTATAAGTTTTGTAAGCATAAATATCAAATCTATTAAAAAAAAACAGACTGATGCAGAAACATCTGAGGTTATTATAGTAAGATGCAAGTATAAGATTGAGTTATTTGGCCTAGAACTTCAGAGTTAAGTATTCAGTCTTGATATGTTGCTAGTATATTACTGTATAAGTCAGGATCCTTTAATTTCTCATAGTGGCATGAGGATAATTAGGCCACGAGATTGTGGAACTAGGATATTTACTTAGTTAATACTTAGTTAAAGTTGTAAGTTGTCTCAGTTTGATACAATTAATGTTAAAAGAAGAATAGCTTGTGACTTATATTGTAAATGCCTTGAAAGAAGCGTCCATTCTACTTAAGGATCATTTATTTGTGCATGACTAGAAGTTGGGATTGTTTTAGTATCTGATGTGTGCTAGTTTTAAATTTATGGAAGTCTGTTACTAATTCCTTAGTGGAATTTCATCCTCCTGATGGAGGAACATGAATAGGAATAAATACTGAATTAATGCAAGGTATAAAACTAGAAGTAATGCAGAGTGTAAGGCTAGGTTCTAACTTTTCTAATTTGAGTTTCTTAAAATATAACAACTGGCCAAGGTTCCAATTTTGACCTTGTAATAGTGGAGACACGGGGGTTGAGTTAACTTTCATTATTTGCCCTGGTTATTGGCAAGGTAATTTAAAAATTGTGTTGAGACCAATCTTGTACGAGAGTGGACACAAGGAGGAGGATCTCTACAAGAAGAGAGTCTGCTGGACACTGTTTGAACAGCACTCGGACCAGAAGACTTGGCCAGATGATGTCCAGAGTGTCGAACGGCAGTATGAGAAGAGACTTCTGAGGCTTTAAATGGATAACTGATCGTTCCTTTTGGGTCTCTGTATCTGTACTTAATAAGGGGACTGCCCCCTTTTTACTTTGTCAATGTGTCAGTCAATTCCTCCCTTCCTTCTCCCATATTGTTTTAAGTCCCCAAAATCCCTTGATGAAATGTTGCCCAGCAGCACATCCCCAGAGAGAACCATCACTAAGGCACTGCAAGGTTTAACCACTTTAGCTGAGGAGTTGGCAGACAACTCTTGGATGGATAACTGATTAAAGGGATAGTTAGAATCCTGGTTTGGCAAATGGAAAGGAACGGCTGTATCCATTCAGGAGTATTAACTGCTGTAGAATGTTGTACAGTTCCATGCACTAGGGGGCTGGTACAACAATTGATAGAAACATCCCTCACTAAAGATTATCCCAGTAGGACCCACAGTGGGAGTTCAGAGGGCAGGCTCTGGCAATATAAGGATGATGATACCTTATGTATCAATGAGACTTCCCCCAGTGATGGAGAATGCAAAATCATGTTAAGTAGATTAGAGGATAAGGAAATTGGGAAGATGTGGAAACCAAATCTTTACTTTAAAAAAAAGAGTAGGAATTGTGAGAAATGAAAGAATTAAGTTTCCACATAAGTAGATAAGAAATCAGCACAGACAGGCTAACTTCTCTGTCGGGGGGGGGGGAGTGATAACACAATTCTAGGCACATAATGTACCTTAGAAATGGGGCATATAAGGAAGATTGTAACCCAGAAGGATTAGGACCAATCCTGATCCAGAAGGGGAGGAGTTAGGCAATTACTAACTATAAAAATTGCCCTGGCTTCTTTTACTGCGTGCATTTTCTCTCCTTCCAAGGAGGTGCACCCACTTCTCGTGAGAATCGAAATGACACGCTTCAACCTATTTAATAAAAAGTCTTTGAGACACCAGTCTTCGGGGGGAAAAAAAAACAAAGTCTTTGAGTAAGTCGAGCGGATCAAAAATGACTTGGTAAGAGAGGCAGCATCTGAGGGGCTTCACGTGATGTCTAGGGCATGGTCAATAAGGGAATCTGTTTGTCCAGACTATGCTCATTGTGGGGAGGGGGTTGTTTTTCATTTTTCTTTGTTTTCAGTGGGGGACGGGGAGAGGCAGGAAAAGAAATTTTGATAACTGGGGAAAAAATAAAATGTGGATAGGAACTCAAAAGTAAACGGGAAAGAAAGCACTCCGGGCATTAGAAAAAGCATGAGCAAAAATAAGGTGGCCATAAAAATGCTGCAGATTTGGGACAACCTAATTTGGCTTGAGCTTATTAGAGTATGGGGCGGGGGGAGGGTTTAGGCTGGGAAGGGTAGGATGGAATACAGAGGACCTTCAAAGGCAGAGCATCAGATAAGTCTGAGGAAAGAAACATGACCAGGATTTATACGTAAGAATTATTCTAGCAATAACAAGGAGGGCAGTAACGAAGGCCTGCTAGGGAAATTCTAATAATCATCTGGATGGGCACAATGAAAGTCAAGGGCGAAAGGCCAGACCCAGGAATATCATAGGGCAGAAGGGACCAGATTGGTGTATTTGAGAAGCAAGGGACAGAGAAGAGGCCAAGAGAGCCCTGGAATCCTGGAAGGGTGAATAGTAGTACCACAAACCAAAAAGCAGTAAAGACATAGTGAGGAAGGAAGAGAACAGATGGAGTTTAGTTTGACAAGTCACTGAGACCTGCAGGTGGAGACGTCTTTAGGGAGGCAAAGACGTGAGGATGAAGTACAAGAGAAGTCAGCCCTGGAGAGAGTGCTGAGAGTCGTCTGACTAGATACGGAGAGAAGGGAAGAGGCCAACCTGTGAACCCTGCATTAAGAATGAGGAAACTCCTAAGGAGCCAGGAGAGGAGGCAGAGAAGAAGTGATAAGAGAAGATGGGGGCAACTAGGTGGACACTTACTAGCTGTGTGACCCTGGGCAAGTCACTTAACCCCAAATGCCTAAAAATAAAAAAATAAAAAAAAATACAAAGAAAGAGAAGAGGAACAGCAAGAGGTTGGCACATCTGAAGCCAAGGGTAGAGAGAACAACCAGCAGCAGAAAGCAGTCAGACGCATCAAAAGCTAGAGAAATGCCAGAGAAAAGGCGTTTTCTTGAGAACCACAGGTTTTAGAGAGTTAAAAGTACCAATGACTGCTGTACAGTACAAGGGAGAAAAAGAGAGTGGACAGAGGGAAATGGAGATATCAACCAAGATGCCTTTTTCAAAAAAGTTTAACAATGAATGGGAGGAAAACAGAGTAAAATGGTGGCCTCAGAGAAGACTCCCACATCAGAGGTCCAACTCTCCTAGAAAGCATCCCCGGCAGGACTGATGGAGGGGGCTCTCTCCCTTCCCCAAATTCCTCTCTAAACATATATACTCCCACAAAGAGCTTCCTAACACACTACTGAATGCAGCGCCTCCTTGCAGTACAGGATGCTGTCCTGCTCACCATTCCTAGGTATCCGTCTTGCCTTCCCACCTGGACAATAAGTTCCTTGAGGAGTGAGGCCCATGTTTTATAAGCTCCTGAGTCCCTACAATACCTTGCCCATGCCAGGTGCTCCCTGGGCCTGCATGAACACCTTCTGATTGATTACAGAAATTCAGGTGCAAGTTGTGATTGTCTATCTACTCTCTTTACCTGGAGATTGCTCTCAAGGAGCATGCATGATGAGGTCCCCCCAGCTGGGCATTTCCGACAGCGACATCGAATGACTTTCGGCTGACAGCCCCCAAGACTGCTTACCAGCTTTCTCACACTTCTCTTTCTGTTCCCGCAGCTCCTCGCCTTGGGTGGTCATCTGCTTGATTCGACCACGAAGCTGAGCAATCTCTCCTTCTTTCATTTCCAGGGTCTCGTGCATTTGACGTTTGGTCTCTGCTATTACCATCCCCTGCCGAGAAGCATTGGAGCACTTGTGATAAGACCCCGGCATCAAAGGCATGAGAGAGGTAGAAGCGTTTTCGAGACAGAACAAACAAAACACAACAAACAAACACAAACCTTAGAATGGTACTTCTGGACAAAGGCAACTCTAAGTACTTGGGCAAACAGGACAGAGCTATAGACTTTAGTGAGTGCTCTACCTCCTTCCTGAGGGGTTCGTAATAAATGTTTTTCTAGAAAAATGTCTTTCAAACTTTTATATTTGGAGTATGATGATAACTACTTTAATGGAAGTCTTTCTAAAAGGCACACTGAAAACCATTACCCTTTCCTAAATAACTGAAGACGATTCAGAACATCAATTAACATGCCAACATTCTATTACACCCTCAGGTCCACAGAATCATGAAAGGCAATCTTGTCCCTGCATTAATTTTTTATTAAGCACCTGCTATGTGCAGAACACTGTGTGAAGTATTAAGAGAGAAAAAAGCCAAAGGAAGGCACAGTTTCTGCCTCAGTGGACCTGACCATCAAGTAGGGGAATAATACAGTTGACCACACTACACAATATTACATGACACAGCCTTTAGAGAAAGTTCTAAGGAGGAAGAATGGGATTCTCCTTACTGAGTGAAATGCTGTTTACATAGGATTTAGGTATATTTTTGCTTACTCCCAATGTATATAAACACAGCTACTCTAGCGTCTTTCAGGTTTCTAGACCTCTGACAGGTCACATGACCAGGGTATCACTGGACATTCAGGATAACTCTTCATAAAGACAGATCTGCAACTTAGCAAAGGGAAGCTATACACACACAAGATCGTTCCCAAAATTCTCTTCAACCTTAATGGCCTTACAGAGTAACAGAGATGGCCTTCACCACAAAGCATGATTTTCCCTTAATAAAGAAGGCTTTTATGTGGGCATACCCTGCAAAAACATGTCCCAGCCAAAGATGTTTAAAAACAACATTACTGTTCCTTTAACAGTAAATTCCTACCTTTGTACCCACAAAAACCCTCTGTAACAGACATCTTTCTATCAATCATTAGGCTATACCAGCATTCCTTAGAATCATTCTCTCAACTCAGCTCCTCCTAGGACATATTTCTCTTCTTGCACATTCATTACAGCTGTGCTCCCCACCGCCACACCCCAAAAATCAAAAGCCCAAACCCTTGCTCACCCTAGCCCTTCCTACCACAGGGCTCCCCTGCTCCAAGTGCTCACCCTGGCCCCAATTCCTCAGGCTTCATTAAATTCAGTCCAGTATTTTACAGAGCCCCAACCCCAACCTACACCCAGGGTAATCACCCCAGCTGTATTGTACACACACATCATTGATCCTACTCCATGATATATCCCTTCTCCCATGAATCTTCACAGAATCTCAGAGTTGGAAAGGACTTCCGAGGCCAGCATCTAGTCCAGTCTTCCCTAACCAAGAATCCCCTCCATATCACTGCCAAAGAGTGGTCAACCAATCTCTGCCTAAGATTTCCATGTCCCAAGTGAGGCCCTTGGCTTTTGAAGAGCTTTCACGGCTACAGAGTTTGTCCTTCCATCAGGCCTAACCCTGAACTTTTATAACTGCCCCCTATTGCTTCTGGTTCCCCTGCTTCTTCCAATAAGAACTAATCTAATCTACCCTGGCACTGGACAATCCTTCAAATACTTGAAAAAGAGTGATCATGCCCCCCCGCTTCAGTCTTCCTGTCCCTAGGCTAACCATCCCCAATCTGTCCCTAGTCGGTACTTTTCACTAGCCAACTAATGAAGTCACACTGAGAGCATAGCCAGGGTCAAGGGAAAACGGTTTCCTTTCCTTTTTGACTAGGCACAGAGACAGTGTCTCATACCATCTCCTTCTTCCCCTTCCATGCCAGATGCCTAAAAAAGAGTAACTCAAACTCAGTGGCTTCATTTCTTTACCACACATTGCCCATTCAAGTACTAAATATAAGTAACTATATCCTCAAAAATTTAAAGTATACATTTCAAAGAAATATTAAATCACATGCTATTATTACAAATGTCTCTTGTCACAAAAATGTGACTTGACAATTCAGTGTTGACTTGAGGTCAAGAAATCATTGATTCTCAGACTTCCATAAACAACACTATGGCTAAAGTTGATCTGACTCTACAAAGTGAAGTAAAAATACATATACATTCTGAGTATTTTTAAGCTATTCAAAATACACAAAAAGTATGAGCCAGACTACATTTCCTTGCTTATTTACCTTATCTTGTTCAAGCTGTTCAATCAAATTCTTTGCATCCCGCAGCTGAGTAATCAATTTCGTTTTCTCAGCCATGTGAAGTTCCTAGGACATAAAGAGGATTCCATTCCATTTGATCATTCAGAACTTAAGGATTTCATATAAATCAAGAACTTCTACTGCTCACCTATTATAATTTATTTAGAGTGACAAAACGTAAAGAGTAGGAAAGGTCCTAAAGTTCTGATTCAGTGGTGCCCAATCTTTCTGAGTCTAAGGACCCTGTTTCTCAGATTGTCCATGATAGTATCTGCACTATTCATATCTACTAATAGAGAAAAGAGTTAATTCCTTTATTTTAATATTTTTCCTAATTACATGTAAAAACAATTTTTAACATTGCTTTTTAAAAACATTTTTTGTTCCAAATTCTCTCACTCCTCCCTTCTCTCTCCCCACACTGAGATGGCTAGATTCGTAGTCATGTAAAACATTTCCATTTCCATATTTGTCATATGAAAGAAAACCCAGACCCCACCCACCCAACCAAAAAAAAAAAAAGAAAAGAAAAGAAAAAAGAAAGTAAAAAAATAGTCTGCTTCCATCTGCTTTCAGACTTCAACAGTTCCTCCTCTGGAAGCAAGCACCATTTCTTATTAAAAGTCTTTCAGAATTGTCTTGGATCTTCATATTGCTAAGAACAGATGAGTTCTTCCCAGCTGATGATCACACAATGCGGCCATCACTATGTACAACGCTCCCCTGCTTCTGCTCATTTCACTCTGCATCATCAGCTCACGTAGTAAGTCTTTCCAGGTTTTTCTGAAACCCGCCTGCTCATCATTTCTTAAGGACAATAACATTCCATCACAATCACATACCACAACTTGTTCAGTCATTCCCCAGTTGATGGGCATCCCCTCTATTTCACTTGGCCACCACACACACAAAAAAAAAAACTGTCATAAATATTTTTGTATATATAAGTCCCCTTTTCCTTCTTTTTTTTGGGGGGGGGGGGAGAAGAGAGAATCGCTTTGGGATACTGACATAATATTGCTGGGTCAAAGGGTACTCACAAGTTTTATAGCCCAAATTGTTCTCCAGAAGGGCTGGATCATTTGATAACTCAAAAAGAGATAATTCTTTTTTAAAAAAAATACTATTAATTCAATTAGGAAAAGTAGGCTGACCTAGTGGAGAGAGGACTATTCTTGAACTACATACAAGCTATGTGACTATGGGCAAATCATTTCAGATTTCTGTGTTCTAAGCAATTCTGTAAGACTCTAAGTTACAGACAAGGTGCCAATTTATATCAGTGGAGTGAGTTTCCGCACTGGAAATCCACTCACTATTCCAGCTAAAATCCTAGAACTACCCTCCTATAAAAAATTAATTCAGTTACAGGTAAATGAATTTTCATATATACGGATACATATGGATTTGATATACCTATATAATGCCGATCATTATTATTACACTGAATCAGTTAATCAATCAATTAAAAAGCATTTAAGTGCCTACTATGTGCCACACATTTAATAATACCCCTTGAAATAAACCTCCAATAAGTAGTCATTTATTCTCTATCTAATGAACTCAAGTGATGGGGAATTCACTACTCCTAGAACTGCCTATTCCATCTTTGACCAGAAGAAACTATTAAACAACATCCCTATAACTTTCACCCACTGGTCCTAGGTAGCAAAGTGGTGCCACAGCGAATAGGGCGCAGGACTTGAAGTCAGGAAAATATGAAGTCAACCTCTCCATGCCTCACTTTCTACAACTATAAAACAGATCGTGCTGAGCCTCATAGAAGAGCACAGGCCACTGTGAGGAATCTGCTTCCCAAACCGAAAGGAACGGTCAGACAGGCAGTTTTTGCCATTTATCAGAAGATCTGCTGGGTTGTAACTGTGGCTTGATTATTCTGCTTCTAGACTATTCCAGAAACACAGGTTGTCTAAATGCTTTCATGTCCCCAAGCCCCCAGATGCCCCTTCCCATGACTTCCCACAAGACGCCTCCTCCATTCTTTAAAAGTATTTATTAAAAGTTCAAGGTACATGTAACATTTTCAAGATGACAACAAAAAGTTGTTGCCTTTAATGAAGTTAAATAATCCTTCTCCATTCTCTTCTCCTTTTCTCTGGTCAGTCACTAAAACTAACCACTTTATCTGAGCTTATTTTCTCTCACATCCACAATCTTGTTTTGTCATTCATCTCTTCTCTTTCAGATACCTTTAATCTCTCTCTTATAGGATTTCTCTCTTTAGTGGCTTCATCTCATCTAAGAAATGTTCAGGTCTCTCCAATTCTAAAAAAGCCTTTCCTCTACCCTCCTGCTCCCTTCAATTAAAGGCCCATCACTTCGGTGCTAAAACTCCAGAAAAGGTTTTCCCCCAATGCTACCATATCATCCCCACCCACTACTTGCCCAAAACTCTTGCCACGTCTACTATACCAAAACTACTCAAAACATTTGCTCAAAGGTCATCAGTGACCGAATCACCAGTAAATGACCCTTTCTCAGTCCTCAAACCCCTCTCATGAACTGCTATTCCTACTGGACACGTGCATGGGGATTTCCCTATAGGCATCTCAAATTCAGCACACTCTAAACAAAACTCACTATTTTCCCTCAAAAACTCATTCATCTTCCCCTATTATTGCTGGCAACACTGCTCCTCTTCCAGTCACTCTGTTCTCTCTCCCCCATCCTTCAAAGACAAAGCCTTGTCTTTCCTGCCTACACAACATCCCCCTGAACGAGTCACAGTCTCCAAATCTCAACACTCAAACAGCAGATACAATATTCCAAGCCTTAATCACCTCTCAATTAGATGACTGCAAAAAGTTTCGCAGTTTTCACAGCCTCCAGCAAAATGCTGACTAATTATACTTCACACCTCCCACACTTAGAAAACTAATCTTTTTTAACCCAAGATTCCATCCTGTTAAGATCTTTTGGGATCCTTACTCTTGTCCAGGTCATACTGGACTGGGTGTCATCTAAAAATCAGATCAACCTTTAAGTCAGTAAAACTCTAATGTTGGCCTTTATCAAAGTCATTGATATAAACAGGAACTAGGATGGGGCTGGAGACATCCTTCCAGGTTGTTATCTAACCTCAAGTAGTTCAACTATTGCAATGTTTTCTAGCCTGTATTTCTAAAATATCAGTATTTTAATAGACTATCAGCTACTCCACTAAAATCTTGGTAATTCCTATGTATATGTCTCCCAGCATGTCAATTTAACTGCTCTGTCAAAAGGGGAAATCGATCCACCATGACCTGTTCCTGATGAAGTCCTACTATCTCTTGTGATCACCACACTTCCTTTTATAGATGTTTGCTTTGTCCTTGCTGAGTCTTGACTCTTCATGACCCCATTTGGGGTTTTCCTGGCAGATACTTGAATGGTTTGCCATTTCCTTCTCCAGCTTATTTTACAGATGAGGAAACTGAAGCAAACAGGGCTAAGTGACTTGCCAGGGTCACACAGCTAGTAAGTGTCTGAGGCAGGATTTGAACTCAGGTTTTCCTGACTCCAGGACCAAGGCTCTACTGACTACGACTAGGTGAGAGATTAGAAGTGGTTATGTAAGTTTGCGAGAAGATACAAAGAGATGATAACTGAATTATGAGATAACCAAGACTGAGGATGTAGAGAGAAAAGAAGCCCCAGGACACTCAGGGTTGGGGTACTGGAGATGGATAAAGAGACCAAAGACAAGAAAGGAACCCAGGGGAGATCTGTGTCACATAGGAGATGAACTTCTAGGAGTGGAAGGCAGCTCCCAGGGCTAAAGCAACAAAGAAGACAAAGAGGATGAGGACTCAGAAAGGCTACTGGACGCAGCTACAAAGAGATCACTGCTAACACAGTCAAGCTGGGGGCTACCACACTGCAAGGGGCGATGAGTGGAAACACAGAGTTCTAAGAATCTGACCATTTAAGAAAGGAGAGGGAGCGGATGACGACCTGGACGGTGACCAGAGGAGTCAGCAGGGTCAAGTGAAGATTTTTAAGCCTGGATGGATCATCAGTACCTAACAAGACATTGCTGCTGAGCCATACAGAGTGGGTGACTGAAGAGGCAAACTCTCTCCTAATCATCCAAGTACAAAGTGATCTCCTCTACAGAGCTATATGCTGATCGCGATTCTTTTCTTTCCAAAGGAGGGATGGAGGGAGGGAGGCTGAAAGGAAGACTGGCAAGGTAGGGAGGGGCCAGGTTACAATGAGCTTTAAAAGTCAAACAGAGGATCTCATTAATCCCAGTTGCTGAATTGAATCAAATGGAATTTATGTCTTTGGGGTGGGGGGTGGAGTTAAAGAAGGGTGAACGTGTTCTCCTTTATAACAATGAACTTCACATGAAGCTAAGAATGAACACTGGACCAAATTGTCTCCCTGTCCCTTTCTAACATTCTCAAGCATTCTACCGTTCAGTAGCATGCAGCTAAAAACAACCAGTGAAGACCACCACCAAGAGGCAGGGTAATGGGGAGGAAGGCCTGGGTCCAAAACCTACGACAGACAAATGCTGGTAAAGACCATTCTCCTGTCTGAGCGTCAGTTTCTTCATCTGTAAAAGAGACCTTCAATGTAGGAAAACTTGAACACTAACGCATTGTTGGTAGAGTTGTGAACTGATCCAGCCATTCTAGAGAACAACTTGGAACTATGCCCAAAGGGCTATAAAAAAGTGCATACCCTTTGACCCAGGAATACCACTACTAGGTCTGTGTTCCAAAGAGATCATAAAAACGGGAAAAGGACCCACATGTAGAAAAATACTGATAGCAGCTCTTTTTGTGGGGGCCTAGAATTGGAAATTGAGGGGATGCCCATCAACTGGGGAATGGCCGAACAAGTTGTGGTTTATGAATGTAATGGAATACTATTGTGCTATAAGAAATGATGAACAGGCAGACTTCAAAAAACCTGGAAAGAGTTGTATGGACTGATGCTGAGTGAAGTGAGCAGAACCAGGAGAACGTTGTACACAGTAACAGCCACCTTGTGCAATGACTGACTTTGACAGACTTAGCTCTTCTCAGCAATGCAAGGATCTAAGACATCTCCAAAAGTCTCACAATGGAAAATGCTATCCACATCCACTTCCAGAAAGAGAACCATGGAGTGAGAATGCAGATGGAAGCATCCTATTTGTTCTCCTTTTCTTCTGTTGTTTTATTTCTTTTTTCTCGTGGTTCCTCCCATCAATTCTAATTCTTCTATACATTATGACTAATGTGAAAATATGCTTAATATGAATGTATAAGTAGGGCATATATCAGATTACATACCGTCTTGGGGAAGGGGAGAAAATTTAAAACTCAAAATCTTACGGAAGTGAATGATGAAAACTAAAAAGAAATAAAGACCAAAAAAAAAGAAAGAAGAAATAAAGTCAGATCAAAACAAAATAAAGAAAAAAAAAGGCCTTCATCAAGGGGTCACTGTGAAGACTAATGAAGTGCACGCAGAACAGGCAAGCCTCTCAAGTGTTACATAAATGTGAGGTAAAACATCTCAGAGAAAGTCACATCTGCACAGCCTCTTTTGGGCAATCAAGCACAAGAGTAGACTTGTTCTGTTTGGCTCCAGAGGCAGAATCACAAGCAATGACGGGAAGCTGCAAATTCGGCTCGATGTCAAGAACTCCCTGACGAGGAAGCGCTCCACAAGCGGAAGGGACAGTCCCTCCCCTGGGGACGTCAGGTAAAAGCTCAATGACCAGTGGTCTGGGAGGCTGCAGTGGGGATTCCTTTCAGCTCTGGACAAGATGGCCACTAAAGGGCCTTCCAAACTATGAAATTCTGTAAATACCATAGTTTACAAAAATTAATTTCCTAGAAAACAAATTTTTCTTTTAACACAAAAGCTATTATTTTAGTCACACTTAAGGGAATCTTTCTAAAATGTATTTTATTGCCACATCTCTACACTGACCCTTTCCTGGACAACTCTGGGGCGACACAAACATCTGTGATGCCCTGCTGACCACTGGGGTGGGCATGTCCACTGGCTTTCATACAGTGGTACCGGAGAAATGGCCTTCCAGTTCTTCCAATTCCCAGGTCTGCCTCTGCAGGCCTCCCATCACTGCCCTGCCCTCCGGCCTCTGCTGATGAGTGCCCACGTTTGTCTGCTGCCCTCCTTCCCTCACTGTCTGGAATAAGGCCTATGGCTGGCTCCAGGCTTCTCCTAAAGATTCGAGGAAGTGGATCTGTGAGAGCTAGTCTTCCTCCTACCTTATTTTTTGGTTTGTTTCTTGTTTTATGACCAAATGGATAAGGTTGCCATACTAAAGGTGGCATAGTGGAGCTTGCCAAATTATCTAATCTCAAGACAGAAATTTAGCATGAACACAATGGAGCGAATTCTATATAAGACTTCAATTAAGAGGATGTTAAAAATAAAGTATACAAAGTTGAAGCTGTGCAGGAAGTGTGGTGCAAATGGAAAAGGGGAATACTGGGAGTTAGGAGATGTTCGTGTTGCCCCAGAGTCAAATTCAGGTTCTATGGTAGATGTCTGTATGACCTTGAGAAAGTCATGTCCCCTCTAATCATGAGTTTTCTCCTCTGCAAAACGAGGATCTGGACCAGATGGCCTCCAAGGCCCCTTCCAGCTCTATACCTATGATCTGAATGCTTTCTTAGCTACTTGGGTCATCATGTTCCTCTTAGTTTGCAAAAGAATAAAGAAAATTACAGAATAAAAAAGGGTCCTGGGCCAGAAGGAAGGAAACCTAGTTACTGAAGTCTGCACTCTGTACAGAAATAAAGTTCACAGTAACAGTACCATTGTAAGGACACTCAACTGCCAAAGACTGAGTGCCTCTGAATCAATACGATGATCTGGGACAACCCAAGGGACTCATGATGAAATAAGCTGTTCCCCTCCAGAGAAAGAACTGAGGAACTCCTCTGAGTGCACATGGAAACAGACTGTTTTTCACTTTATTTTTCATGCTTTTTTTTTCTCACAACATAGCTAATGTGGAAATGTTTTACATCACTTTACATGTATCATTTTTCTTGCTTTATTAATGGATTGAAGAGAGGTAGAGGAAGAGAAAATAAAAACTGAAAATAAAAATTTTAAAAACAAAAAGTCTTCACTGAATACCTGAATATCTCCCTCTTCATCCATCCTAAAATCTGGAGTGCATATTCTATGGAGCAATTATACCCAGTTTTGTTTCTTTTGCTAGGCAATGAGGTTAAGTGACTTGCCCAGGGTCACCCAGTTAGTGAGTGTTATGTGTCTGAGGCTGCATTTGAACTCAGGTCCTCCTGATTCCAGGGCCAGAGCTCTATCCACTGCACCACCTAGCTGCCCCTACAGCCAGTTTTAACACCTTCCTTGTGTTATATTTTAGAAATAATTTAAGAAAATTGTTTTTAAAAAAAAGTTTGTCTCCTTCTGTGTACTCACACAAATCTTAGGAGACCTTAGACAAATCACCTTCCCACCTCTGTCCAGTTTCCTTGCCTGTGAAATTAGGGTAAATCCCCATATGCCTAAATGATCTCAAGCTAAGGTTCCATTCTACGACATCTGTGTCTGGAAAGCCAGGGGAGTACCACAGGGTCTGGCGCTTGGACTCGCATCCCACAGGCTCCAGTCATCTCCTCCTGAGGGTGCGCTCAGAGCTGAGCCGCAGACGATGAGAACGGAGGCGGCGGCGGCGCTTCTCACCTTCATTTTCTCCAGTTCCTGAAGCCTTTCCTCGAGCTGCTCCTGAAGGGCTTCCTTCTCGTTGGTGAGAAGAGCAGCACGCTCCTTGTATGACTTGATGATGTCCTTGCAGCGCTGAAGGAGATTCTCTTGCCGCTTCACTCTCCGCTGAAGAGTTTCTAAAGTTTGGGCAGCGTCTCCATCTCCCTCTGTCGGCACTGAAATGGAATAACCACGGAGGGGTCAGAGCGCAAAGAGCATTTACTACGAGGGAGTAAGATGCAATACAGCTAACACTTCACACAACAAGCTTCTCAAAAGGCCCTTCATTATAAATATCAGGAAATAATAAATGGGAGAATGAATGAGCGCTATGCATTCTAAACACGAATGAAAAGAAAGCACTGTTTATGCCCAATTCTGTTACTTTTGAACAGGTCAAGGCATTGTGAAAATACTTAGGTTATAAACTACCAAATACACATGAAATTTAGGAAACCTGAACACAGTATATTTACTAACTCTGAATAGAATTTTCCATTTGATACCAAATTTGGCTATTTATAATACTTAAGTGGTATAAAAGTAATAATAATTTCAAGGATGCAATTAAAAATGTTGCTGCTGATAAAGACAAGATACCAGTCTCCGAAGCTAGTCTTCCAAAGCAAATATGCTTTTTAAGCAAGAAATACAAAAGCCTAAGTAGGAAAAATGTGTAGAAATTATGTTTACTCAAAGACATTTGACACTGATGAACCTCCCCACATCTGTAAAGTCATCTTCCAGAAAAGTCATTTCTAACACCCAAAAAAAAGTCCACTAAGCAGGATATTCCGAAGACTTCAAGACTGTGTCACTGCACCAACCGCTTCAGTTGGGTCCACTAACACCCCTTCTCTCTCTCTCTCTCTCTCGCTGGGCACTCTGCATAACTGAATTAAAAAAGACTTGCAAGAGATAACTTACCTCCATGATCCAGATCATTCTGTGCATTCTCTTCGTTAGTTTCTTTGGGGAGGCTTTCAGGTTTAGGTAACTCCACAGTCACCTGGCCACTTTGCAAGCGATGCTTCAGTAGTGAAACCTAAATAAAATGTTCTCATTAGAAGAACTAAGGAGGGGATAAAGGCTTATTCAGAGGGTCTGGATAAAATTAACACCTCCTTGTGAGGGAGAAAAAGATCCTATCAACAAGCAAACCCCCAGAACAACTTTTCGCAGCTACAGACAGCTAGCCAAACAGCCTTCAATATCATGCGAGAGGACAACAAGGGATCATGAAATTGGAAAACCATTCAAGACTACATTTCTCTTTATTCTTCACTCAAAAATGGTAAGGTTTTTACCTGAGTCTGCAGAACACTGATGTACTGATCCTTCTCCTCAAGGGACGCATCAAACTCTTCTTGGAGGTGTTTCTTAGCCTGTTGATCCATCTGAAGCTCCTAAAGAAGAGAGGCCTTTACAGGTGCATTCGGAGTAAAATAAAAACAGTTCCAAACAAGAACCTAAAGATTTTCACAAATCATACAACATACACAAAGGTCAGTCACTAGATCAGCACTTTTCTCAACTGAACTTCTGAATGAATTTTCTGTTTACAAGGGACTTCGGGTTCTGGAAGGCTACAACCACAGAAAGCAACCTTTGGCAGGCCACCAACAAGCTGCGGAAGCTTTCAGAGGTGCGGCGACCCAGTGACCATTTTCTGGAACAGCCTGTCACCAAATGAGCAGCAGAGCTCATGATCACAAAGCAAAATGTCATGCAATCAATTTTTGTTGTATGGCAAGACACGGAAAGTGTTAACTAAGGTGTAAAGAAACTGCATTCTACATCAGAGGAGGGAGGATCCATGTGGATGAAAGCAAAGATATCTCTCAATACATTTTGAAGAAGGTATATTTAAAATTACTGAGAACAATAAGCAACAAATAATGAATTTTTAAATAGCATGCGAAACACTAACTGTCTGTCACAGTTGGTCATACCCAGCACACTCTGGTGACTCTGAATGCCTGCAGGTCATCAGACAAACACATTGCCCATTCCTCATCACCCAATTCCTTATTCCAATCCCCCCCTCAACCTTCCAACCCCCAAATCCTACCCAAACATTACTCACTCCTTCCACTGTGCCCCTGGAATGCCTGTTCCACGGACAAGAACCTGCCTTCATCTTAATCTTTCTCTGGTCAAGGAAGGGGAGTTAGAATATTCCTCGCTCTCCACTGCTAATTGCAGGCTCTCTATCACCATCACTTGATAACCTTTCCCCTTTGGGTTCATAAGATTGACATCTTTGACCCAAACAAAATCCTGTTAGCGTGACATTGTTTACAGAGTTCTAGGACATTCTCCTTCCATCCTCAACAAGTCTGCTACCTGGCTCATAATCTCTCTCCTCCCCAACTCCTGCCCTTATACTGGGGGACATCAACATACACGCCAACACTCCCTCAAGATTCCTAACTGTTCGGTTCCTTAACCTATTCACTTCCCGTCACCTACTTCTCCACCTCACCACGGTCACAAAGATGGCTGCATCCTTGATCTTGTCATTACCCATAAATCTATCACCTCTGTGTTCAAGAACGCAGATATTTCCTTATCTGACCACAATCTCTTAGCTTTCCAACTCTCCCTGTGCCTTCCTTTACCAAACCCTGCTCTGTCCACACCATGATTTCCAAACCTTCAGTCCCTTGGTTATCTCCCAGGCCATCACTCCTGCATTAGCCACTCTCTCCAACTTGTCCCCATCTTGACCTTTTGGTGAACCACTACAATTCTAGACTGTTCTCCTGAGTCCCTGGCCCCCTTATCATTTCACCAATTCCATCTGTCAAGCCTGAGCTCTGGATCATCCCCACCATCCAATGCCTCTGATCCTACAAAAGTGCTGCTGAACAAAGGTGGAGAAAATCATGCAACCGTTCTGAATGGGTCCACTACAAATTTATGTTACACAACCTCACCTGGGCCCTCACTGCTGCAGGGCAATCTTTCTATTCCTCCCTTATCAATCCTCTATCCTTATCCCCATAGTGGCTCTTCCCAAACCTTTGCATCCCTCCTCAAACCTTCCCATGCTCTCACCTGAGAACTCTGGTTCCTGTTTTACAGAAAAAACTGAGGCCATACAATGGGAGTTCCCTCTTCTCTCCTCTTCCTCTTCTGATATCAGTATGATGCCTTCTACTACCTTCCTCCTTCCCCGCTATCTCACATGATGTGGTGGCCTTATCCCTCACCAAGGCTAACTCCTTTACCTATTCAAGTGATCCCATTCCATCCTATCTCCTCCAACACACTGCCCCTACCGTCATCTGCATTCTATCACCTCTGTTCAGTCTCCCCCTGTATAATGGCTCCTTTGCTGCTGCCCAAAAACATACTTGTCTCCCATCTTCAAAAAGCTCTCACTCCATCCTTCCCTCCCCACTAATTATAGCACTACATCTCCTCTGCCATAATCTCTTTAAGAAGGCTGCCGATAACAGGTGCCTTCGCTTCCTTCCTCTTACTCTCAATTCCCTACAATCCAGCTTCCAAACTCCTCATTCCACTCTCCAAAGCAACTAATAATGTTCTTACTGCCAAATCCATGGCCTCTTCACAATCCTCATTCTCCTTGACCTCTCTAAAACCATAAACACTGTCAATCACTCTCTCCTCCTTGATACTCTCTTTTCTCTAGGTTTTCAGGACACTACTCTCTCGGTTCTCCCCCTACCTCTCTGACCACTCCTTCCTCCAGGGCACACCCATTAAATATGGGCATCCCATGCAACTCTGTCTTGGGCTCTCTTCTCTTCTTCTTCAAGACAACTTTACTTGGTGATCATAACAGCACTAAGCTGGATTCTCAAGTCTCTTTATGCAGCCCTAACTTCTCTGTTGATCTCCCGTCTTTTATACCTGTCTACTAGACATGCTGAACTAGATGTCCAATAGACATCATCTTCTCCCATAAACTCTGCCCCAATTCCTAAGTTGCCTATTACTATGGAGGGCAACACCATCCTCCCATTCTCCTCAGGTTCACAAACTAAGTGTTGCCCTCAATTCCTCACTATCTCTCACCCCTCATATCTAAAATGATGCCAAATCCTACAGATTTCACCTCTGCAACATCTCCAACATGACCCCTTCTCTCCTCTGATAACGCCACCACTCTGTGCAGGCCCTTATCACCTCATCTCCAGACAACTACGACTGCCTGCTGACTGATCCACCTGACACAACTCTCTCCCCACTCCAGTCCGTTCCCCATTCAGCTGCCAAAGTGATTTTCCTAAAGCACAGGCTGGACCATATTCTCCCATACTCAATAAACTCCAATGGTTCCCACCCTAAGTAGAGCCTCCCATGGGGCCAGAGCCTAGCTGCCACTGACCTCATCACACTTCTTCTCTATGCTCTCTTCAGTATCACTACCCAAATGGAGGCCTTAATGGAAAAGGATATGAGCTCCCTCTGTCCTCAGAACTTCCTCTTCAAATGTGAGTAAAAGGCAGATAAGAATTACCATTTTAAGGCAGATGACAAAAGGGATCATCAGATGTCACTGAGAACTGTGAGTCTGGGGTCTGGTGCAAAGGATAAATTGTATATTGTTGAAGCAGAAGCAATTAACTATGAAGAAAACCAGTTCTAGCCACAGTGACATCTGTGAAAATGTGCAGTCTTACAGTTTCTCCAGGTGGCTCTGAGATTATACTATCAGTAGTTGGTGGTTGAAAAGTGTGATTCGGGGCCTACACACAGTAGTGGTCGGTACCTAGTAGCACCAGAGAAAGGTGAAGAATCAGATGATGAAGAGGAAGATGACATGAAACTCTTAAATATGTCTGGCAAACGATCTGTTCCTGGAGTTTGTAGGAAGGTTCTACAGAAAAAGGTAAAACTAAGGATGAGAATTAAGATGATGATGATGATAATAACTTTGAAGATGAGAAAAATGAAGAAAAGGTAATACTGCAGCAAAAAAAGGAGAAAAAATGAAGAAAAAACCGGAATGGAAAATGTTCAAAAACCATACAAAAAGTCAAGAGTCTTTCAAAAAGCAAAATGTAGGGCAAGCCTCCCAAAGGACCTAGTTCTACAGAAAATATTAAGTAAAAATATAGGCACACATTTTTTGAAACGGAAAGAGCGGTCATCAACTTCATAGAGAATTGCTTCTAGATATCTGATCAAGAGGCTAGTGAAGGGGGCAGCTGGGTGGCACAGTGGATAGAGTACTGGCCCTGAAGTCAGGAAGACCTGAGTTCAAATGCGACCTCAGACACATAACACTTACTAGCTGTGTGGGCAAGTCACTTAACCCCAACTGCCTCACCAAAAAAAAAAAAAAAAAAAAAAAAGAGAGAGAGAGAGAGACTAGCGAAGATCTCTGCCTATGGGAGAAATATCTTGAAGAAAAGTTTGTTCAAATTGTCCTTCTTATTCCTGTAACAGTTGCTATCTGGCTGTCCTTTACGCTGAGAACTTTCCCTACCACGTCCGATCAATGTCGTCCACACCAAGAATGTGTTGTCCAAACAGTTTTCCAAAGTCTAACTCTATCCTTCACCTCCTTTAAGTATATATGAAATGGTACAAGAGAACAGAGTCGAAATGGTGCTCAGGCAAATGGAAATGGTGAGGACACAAGGTATAAACTGGAAATGTATTCAATATGTGAATAAAGTTAAAAAGAAAAAGAAGCATCTATGAGCAGCCATTGGGGGGCCTTGATAAGTACGCCTGTAGGGCTAGGGTCTGCCTATCTTGGTTCTACTCCAGGACTAGCACAACCCTCTTGGGGAGACTAGCGTGTGCCACTTCTGTATCGGTCCTTGGGAAAGGGGAGTTGAGAGTATAAAGTGACATCACTGCCATTATTCTACGGAGTATATGTTTCTTTAATACCATGAAGAACAATCAAACCTGCTCAACGGTGGCATCACTTATAAACTCAAATCAGAGACCGAATGAATGAGGAGGTATTCTGCTGAATAATTATTTAGATCCAGGCAGGAAAACAATGCTTATTTTGGAAGGAACACTAGACTTGGAGTAAGAAGACTGGGTCCAAGTCACTGCTCCAACACTTACCATACTGTTACATTCCATATCGTACCTCCCCCAGTTCCCAGCACTAAAGTACAAAACAGGAACTTCAGAAACATTTGTTACATTAATACCAAATCTATATCCCAAAGACATCAAAGAAAAGGAAAAAGGACCTACGTGTATAAAAATATTTATAGCAGCTCTTTTTGAGGTGGCAAAGAATTGGAAATTGAGGGGATGCCCATCAACTTCAGAACAGCTGAACAAGTTATGGTATATGATTGACGTGAAATACTATCGTGCTATAAGAAATGACAAGCAGGATGGTTTCAGAAAAACCTGCAAAGACTTACATGTTGCAAAGTGAAGTGAACAGAACCAAGAGAATGCTGTACACAGCAACAGCAATACTGTCAACATGATCAACTGTGAAAGGCACAGCTGCTCTGATCGAGACAATTCCAAAGGACCCATGATGAAAAATGCTCTCCACCTCCAGAAAGAGAACTGATGAACTCTGAATGCAGATCGAAGCATCCTGTTTTCCTTTATCGTTCTTCTTTTATTTTCTGTCTATATCTTCTTTTGAAACATGGCTAACACGGACATATGTTTTGCATGACTTTACATGTATAATCGATATCAAACTGCTTGCCTTCTCAAGGAAGGGGAGGGGCAAGAGGGAAGGAGAGAATTGAGAGCTCAAAATTTTTTTAAATATCATTGTCCAAAAAAATGTTTACATGTAACTGGGTAATATTTAATGAAATAAATAAATTTTTAAAAAACAAACTAATAACAAACACTTAGCTGAATGACCCCAAATAAATCACCTAATCTCTCTGACCTTCAATTTCTCATTTATAAAAGGGTAATATTTGTACTACCTACCTTCAAAGTTGTTGTAAGGCCAGGTACATTATAAATCATAAAGAACTATATCTATCCCAAAGACATCATAAAAATGGGAAAAGGACCTACACGTACAAAAATACTGATAGCAGCTCTTCCTGTGATGGCAAAGAATTGGAAATTAAGGGGATGCCCATCAGCTGGGAAATGGCTGAACAAGTTGTGGTATATGGACATGATGGAATACTATTGTGCCATAAGAAATGATGAGCAGGCAGACTTCAGAAAAACCTGGAAGGACTTATATAAACTGATGCTGAGTGAAGTGAGCAGGACCAGGAGAACATTGTACACAGTAACAGCCACATTGTGTGATGACTAACTTTGACAGACTTAGTTCTTCTCAGAAATGCGAGGATCTAAGACATCTCCAAAAGTCTCATGATGGAAAATGCTATCCACATCCAGAGAAAGAACTATGGAGTTGGAATACAGATCAAAGCATACTATTTGCTATTTATTTTCTTCTGTTGTGTTTTATTTCCTCTTTCTGGTGGTTCTTCCTATTGGTTCTAATTCTTCCTTAAAACATGACTAATGTGAAAATATGTTTAATAGGAATATATATATCTCGAGCCTATATCAGATTGAATACCATCTTGGGGAAGGAGGGGGAGAAAAATTTTTAAAACTCAAAAGTATATGGAAGTGATTGCTGAAAACTAAAAATAAATTAATAATTAAAAAAGAACTATATCAGAGTAAGCTATTACTATTATCTATTCATTCTTTTAACACTGAATTTTCCTGAAGAATCTGGAGCTGTTTTTTTTTTTTTAAAGAGAAAAAAAAAAGGGTCCCAGTAAATGTTCTACACCCTAGACCAGCAGTTCTTCTTAAACTATGGGTGGCAACGGCCTCAACCCACCTTTTAAAAAGCACTGAAGGGGTTGTGAGTGGAAAAAGTTTAAGAGTCCTGGCCTAGGGCAGTTATCTATCAGGAGAGTTAAGGAATATGCATACAAAGCCACCTCAGCACTGACATCCATTGTGATCTGACACTGCGGGCATTTGAATTACTCTTTTCAAAGTACTGAGGTCACCAAACTCACCTCTCTTAATTCCCCAATTCTCCTGAGGGCTTTATCTTGACTCTGGCTCAAAAGACCCTTAAAAAAAAAAAAAAACAGTTGGTTCAAAAACTGCCATAACACGTCAATGCAAAACAACTCAACCCAGAAGCATTCTTCACACAGAACAGGCATTCTTAACTACTCCAACTGTGGAAACAGAACAAAAACTGGTCAAGACCAAGATGGGATCTTCTTGAAAATTACCTTCATGTTAAACCAAAATCCAAACTAAATCTCTTCTTCCATTATGACACAGTGCGACCCATTTGGGCATATTTTACCAGTTAAATACACTGAAGTGAATTTATAAGTGTACAATTTATACAAGCACAAAAGACTGCCTGTGAAATAAACATCAATGTGCTGCAAACAGGAAGCAGTGTTAGGAAAGCAGATCACAACCCTCAAGAACTTTTCTGAAAAAAGACTTTCATTAATTTTCTCACAATTAATGAAATCACTACATTTCTGATGTGATCATAAAACAAATTTTTTATAGAATTGAATCCTCCTTTCCCACTAATCTTCAAAAATAATTTAAAATACACTTTTAGGGAAAATATTGCAAACACAACCAATTTTGCTTCCTGTCAAAAAAGGCACCCTCAGTTGCTTGGATGAAAACATTCAGGGACAGATGACATCAGGAAAAGAGCTACTAGTTCTTACTGGAGGAAAAAGGGATGCCTCAGTCAGCTGACACGAGCCTTAGGTGTATACATAAAATGGTAATTCACATAAATGAGAAAAGGATTTATTTTTCCAAAATCTATTTAACAAACAATGTTTTCAGGAAACTATCTATTTAAATAGTGCAGATTCTCTGATCTGTGATCTCCTAAACGTAGATATTCCCTCCAACAGTACAGACTGCAAGCCATTGTTTGTCTCCTCATGGACCAAAGCATAGTACAGGAGAAAGAGCTCTGGAGCTGGAGTCAGAGGGATTAAAAATCCTGCTGCCCAGAATGACCAAACATGTGACCTTGAATAAAGTATAGAACCGACATGACCCTGTTTCCTAAGCTATAGGAGGGAACTGGACTGGATGCCCCCTGAGGTCTCTTCCCAGCCTGCACAGACAACCTTAGGATCCTGTGCTATTCTCCTGTGTCCTCCTATAAATCCTCCTCCCCACCCCCAGGGTGCTGAATGAAGGCTTTCCTCTACACTTCCAGGAATGAGATGGATCAATGCAGCCCATGGGCTAGCTATTGGCCATCCCTACCTGTCATTACATAGCCAGTCAAAGATCTATAACTAGTTCAAATAAAACTTCTCTTTTAGCTAAAGAAAAATGTAGCTAAAGTTAAATTTATTTTGCTTTACAAAGCAAATCCATAACTTCCTAATAGCACCAAAAATTAGCAGCTTATTTACCTTTAATATTTATAGACTAGGTCTCCACGACAGAGGTGCACTGAATGTTTTCCCCCAGGTTTGGCAGGAAAACTGGAATACGTGTAAAAGCACATAGAACACCTGCAGTATGTCTGCCACGGCCCCCTCCCCACCCCAATCCTATCTTAGCTATCATAAGCACTGCTGCAGAGAGAACACTCTAAGGGCTTTTTTTTTTCCCCCAGGCAATTGGGGTTAAGTGACTACCCAGGGTCACACAGCTAGTGTCAAGTGTTTGGTCTGAGGCCGGATTTGAACTCAGGTAGGGCTTTTCTCCAAACACAAAAGGTCAGTTTCAGAAGCAGAAACCTCAGGGGAAACAGAAATTCAATACAGACAGAATATAAATGGAGAGAGGGCCATGACTGTGCCTAGGACTACAGCGTCCACTTCATTCCACAAGCTTGTATATTTATATAGGTTGTTTAAAATAGCAAAGGTAAATCTCTGTGTAGACTAAATATTCCCTCAGAGCTGCTGTGTGGTATAAAACATAAGAAATGGATGATGATGATTTTCCTCCCTCTCTTGACATTATATGAGCTATCTACAAGACTACATTCCCCAGGCCCCAAATCCCATTCAGGTCAGTGAATTACAGAATCCCCCAGGAGGTGAAGCCCAAACCCACTCTTTCTAACTCTTCAGTTTAGGTGTTTGAACCATGAGCTTTTGGCTTTGTTATTTTAACCGACAAAAACTGTCTTGGAAAAGTGGGATAAATCTCAGTTTTGTTGGGAATTTATATACGTAGAAATTAGATAACCCTAGGTTATCTCCAGGTACTATCTGTCAACTATAAAATTCTATGACTATATTATAGCTAAGAAATAACTTACCTGTAACTTCTTCTTTTCTCTCTGGACAGTTTGATAGGCAGTAACAAGCTGAAATATACAAAGAAATAATCATTTACCTGGCAATAAATAAACTTTTTTTAGATAAAGAATATCAGCTATTCTAAAAACATTTTAAAAGTTCTAGGTTCACTGAAAGTGATCTACACACTGAAGAAAGCTTGTTTCTAAGAGGCTCAAGCACATGTTGTCAAACACTAAGCTGAACAGTGCAGACCCTGAAACCATGAAAGGGGAATCACTCTATAAAGCGCAAGTTCCTTCATCTCAAAAAGCCTTACTTATCAAGTGGGGTTAAGACCTGATCTGTCTGTAGGATGCGGCTATACCAAGTGATCGCCTGAGGTGCTTCTCAGTGCTATGATCTATGACCAAAATTCTATGAAAAATCTAGCCATTAGGACTTGCAAATAAGATCTGAGAACCATATTTCATTTCAATCAAACATTAAACATATATTAAGTGCTTACTGTGTATCAGGCACTGTGTTAAGCAACAGACATAAAAAAAGAGGCAAAAGATGGACCCAGGCCTCAAGGAGCTTTCCATCCAATCGGGGGAAAAAACAAACACACAACCACAAGCTAATACAAGAAGATAAAGAAGAAATCATTAAGAGAGGGAAGGCAACTGAATTAAGAGGAGTGGGGGAAGGCTTCCTATATTAGGTAGGATATTTGCTGGGACTTCAGGGAAGCCTGGAGGCAGAGCAGAGAAAATACCCAGAGACCAGGGGCACAGGATCTCGTTTGTGGAACAACCAGGAGGCCAGTGTCATTGGATTGAAGAGTATGCGGCAGGGAAGGAGGTATAAGAAGACTGGAAAAGGAGGGAATGACTAGGTCACAAAGGGTTTTGAAAGTTAAAGAAAGGATTTTATATTTGATCCTGGAAGCAATAGGGAGCCAGGTGGTGCACAGTGAGGCGCTTTGGGAGTTGTGATGCTACCAGACTGGACTGGGGAGAGACTCAAGGACAGCAGAACAACTAGCAGCACTGGCAATAATCCAGAGGTGAGGCAATAAGGGCCCGGGCCAGGATGCGGGCAGTGTCAGTGGAGAGAAGGGGGTGTATTCAAGAACTGCTGCAAAGGTGAAATGGACAAGAGATGTTAAGGTGAAATGGAGAGACTCTGGCCACAGACTGGACCGGGGGCAATGAGAGACAGGAAGGAGTCCAGGATAACTACTAGGTTGCAAGCCTGAGGGCCTGGGAAACAGGTGAGGCCCTCTACAGTAATAGGAAAGGGTGGGGGTGGGTGTAGTTGAAGATGTCTACTGGACATCCAGGTCAAGACTTCTGAAAGGCAAGCTGGAGATGTGAGACTGGAGGTCAGCAGAGAGGTCGAGACAGGAAAGGTAGATTTAAGAATTATCAGCGTAGAGATGGTAATTAAATCCAAGGAGCTGATGAGCTCACCAAGTGAAATAGTCTAGAGGTAGAAAAGAAGAGGGCCCAGGATAGAAGCCTGAGGAACTCCTAAGGTGAGAGGATGTGATCTGGAGGAGGATTCAGCAAAGAAGACAAAAGGAGTAGCAGACAGAGAGGTGGGAGGAGAACCATGAGAGCGAAGACAGTGTCAAGTACAATGACTTGAGAACAGGCCCCTGAATGTGGGAACTGAGAAACCACTAGTTACTTTGGAGACACAAGTTTCAGCGGAACGTTAAGAAGAGACTAAGAGACCTGAGCGGAGGCACTCGCACAGATGGCCGTTTCTAGGATGTCAGCCACAAGGAACAGAGGAAAAGATCTAGGAGGATGGCGGAAAGGGAAGGCTGAAATAGAAGTTTTTTCAGCACGGGCATGTAGGCAGTAGGAAAATGAGCCAGGAGACCAGGAGAGACTGAAAATAATGATCGAGCAGGGATGGCAGAAAAGGCAAAGTTCTTATCAGATGATCATCTGGCTTTCATCCAGGGTGACGAGAAGTCTCCCAAGAGGCAAACTGAGACTTCAAGAAGCTGGTACAATTTTTCTGGCAAGCTTTTAGGAAAACTTCCAATCTTTGCTTAAAAAAAACTCCACTAGATGGCAGGAGAGTCACAGGGACATGCCAAGAGGAAGGAAAGGAACAAAGAAACTGATGTAGGAAGGAAACACAGATGAGCTTCTCGGTACCTTGTAAATGTGCCTAGAGCCAATACCTTCCCTTCCCTGCCTCCAAAACACAGGAAAGCAACTCTTTCTTTGGAAAAAAATGGTAGCCACAAGGAAGATGGATCCCATACCTCTATGCTATCACTATTCTGCCCTTGAGAGTCTGGCTTAACAAGAAAAGAGAGGGGAGAGAGTTTGGAGTGAGCTCCCTAATTCTAGGAAATGAAGTTCCCATCTAATAATTAGAGGACTGAGAGTCTCCTTTGCCCCTTCAAGCTACTTGACTGTATCTGAAAAGCTTCTACATGGAAGGTCCCCAGAAATGGGCTCAAGTTTAAGTAGGTGTGACAAACTGAAGATAAAAGAGAGGAGAGATTGTGGCTAGGTGACTCATAAGGGGTAGGGGGTCAGTAAAGAACATGAGAGGCTAAGTTCTTATACACTAGAAATGACACGTCTCTATTATATCAAACTAACAGAATTTATTTCAACAGGTTTTCTAAAAACAAAACCTTAATTAAGAGCTATAAAAACTGGAGTTTTGATTGGGGCAAGGGAGCAGGGAGAAAAAAGATGTAATTTTGGAGTATGAGGTACCTAGGGAAGAGCAGTTCTGGGTGGGATGGCACGATGGGAAGCAGGATACAAGCACAGACCCTGGGGAGCAGGGATGTAGAATGCAGAAAGTGAGGTGGGGGGAGGATGAAAAGAAACTTGACCAACTTTCCAAGTTTACCTGGGGCCCTGGTCAGTTGGTTAATGCTCCAGTGAATATTGCTTTGCTGTCCTCTTTGGCACAATGCCACAAAATGGGACGTCTAGTATGCCAGAGACGTGAAACAGCATCAACAACATATGTTTATTACAAAGCATTTTGCTCAGAGCTGGAAACACCAAGACAAAAACTAAAGTCACATCCTCAAGAAGCTTATATTCTAATGGAAACCACAGGAAGTTTCTACAATGAAAATCAGCATAATTCAAACCCTGTGACTTGTACCTCTGAATATTTGCCTCGATAGCTGTTTAAGCTTCGCTCCATCCTCCGTACTCGCTGACAGAGCTGTTCTTTACTGAGACTGTCCACATGTCCCACGGCCTCCTCGGTCTCACTGTCAACGTCAGATGGGGGATCCAATGTAGCGGCCGAGTCAAGATCAAGACGATTCAGGGATTCTCTCGAGGAGCTTCGCACCAGAGATTCTTTCGAAGAAGAACGGAACAAGGATTCCTTGATTGGACTTCGAAATAAAGACTCCATTGATGGAACCCGGAGCTGGAGCTTCTGTGCAAAAGACTGCATCTCACTCGACTGCAGGGCCAGATGAGAAGATTTTCATATTTTATTCAGCTGCAACACTGACAACAATACACCGTAAACTCTAGAATCTACTAACATTCTTAATTCTTTACAAAACGTACTATTACCAAACAATGCGAGGCAGCCATGTTCCAAGTGGGAGAAAGAACATGGAACTCCAAGTCAAAAGACCCAAGTGTGAGTCCTGACTTTTCCTCCCCGCTCTACCACGCTGTCTATGGGGCTGTAATAAACTGAAGCCAACAGTGCTGGAATTTAAGACAGATAAAATGTCTGAGATATAATAAAAATGAATTGGAATAAACCTAACAATGGAGAAGTAATGAAAGAATATTATCCCCCCCCAACTGCTCTAACAAGTTTTCGGCATTTTCCCCCCAAAAGGTCACAGAACTCTGTATTTAAGTCACTGTTCTTGTTGTTGTGTCTCTGAAGTCTTGTCTGACTCTTCGTGACCTCGTTTGGGGTTTTCTAAGCAAAGCTACCAGAGTGGTTGGCCACTTCCTTCTCCGGCTCATTTTACAAATGAGGAAACTGAGGCAAACAGGGTGAAGTGACTTGCCCAGGGTCACCTAGCTAGTAAGTGTCTGAGGTCAGATTTGAACTAAGAAAGATGAATCTTCCTCTACTACTATTAGCCTCCAGCCACTGCGAGCCACTGGGCCACACAGCTGTATTTAATTAACAGATGTTACCCAGAAATTCATTCTTAGTGCTACAACTATGTCACTTGTGAAGTGTCGCAGAAATCTTCAGGGAAGAAGAGCTCAGCAGAGGTTGAAGTCAAGTGTAACAGGAAAACAAAGAGATTCGCTGAAGATAAAATTTTTAAAATAAAGCTTTTCTGAGTGGATTCTATAGAGACCAGATAATGGAACAACCAAGACAGGGACCAAGAGTAAGAAGTTCCTTAAAAACGGATCTGCCCCGGGTAGCGCATCCAATTTCCAAACATAACCTTGAAAAGTTGTGAATACACACGGCAACCGCCCCCCGAGATTACCAGGAGGGTCTGAAGAGCTGAGCCGAGCCCACGGTGTCCCCACCGCTCACTCCTGGTTCACAAGGTAGCAATGAGGAGCTCACTGCTTATGACAATCAAACAGATACCAAGGCTATGGAGAACCATCCCAGCCAAGTAGAGAGACGACTGAGTGAGGCGAGAGGAAGCTCGGGGGCTCAAGCTCACCCCCAATCCTGACCCTGTCTGAGCCTTTGTTTCCTCATCAGTGAAGCACAGATAACAATGCTCAAAGTGGCTGCTTCACAGAGGTGATGTAAGGCAGGCTCACGGCCAACTTTCTGGACTCCTCTAAGTACTGGGTGGGTAAATATCATTGTGAATAACCAACCTGCCAGAAGAAGGTCCACTCAAACTTAGTGCCCATTTCTGAATAGCCTCTACAGGAAGGATGACAAATCCATAAAATGCTAAGTTTGGGAGTTAAGCTGCTTTTACCAAAACAAAACAAAACAAAACCAAAAAAAAGAAAAGTAAAAAGTCTAAATTAAGCAAGTGGCCACTTTAGCCATAAAAATGTGACAAAAAAGCCAACAGGACAAATCAGTTTTTTTTTTTTAAGAATCATTTTGTGGAACCGCTAGGGGGTGCAGAGGACTTGAGTTCGAATCCAGCCTCAGACACATAATACTTCCTAGCTGTGTGACTCTGGGCAAGTCACTTAACTCCAATTGCCTCACTTTTAAAGAAAATAAAAAAAAGGAGAGAAAGAATCACTTTGGAACAGATGCTCTTATAGCCCAATGGGAAAGAATCACTGGAGGACAGTGTTCTGGCCTCAGCCTCGGGCATAGCCACCCAGAACCCTAAGACATGACCCTGGATCCCCTCCCAAGCAACTCCTACCTGAAGAGGCAACCCATCCTCTACAACATCCTAGCTAAGCGGCCAGGAGGTTCGCTGGAGATCACAGAGAAAAGATCTGAAACAGGTAATGCCAGCAGCACTAGAATACAGGTCTTCTTAGACCAAAAGATGAAATACCGCAAAGCAGAACATTGCTCTTACTGGGGGAAAGGAGTATTGCGTATGCACATCAAGTTTTTTATCTGGATGAAAAGCAAATGTAGCTACTCCACTGAGGCTAACTGGTAAAAGAAAGAAACTTCAACAATTTTCTGCCTTAAATTTGGGATTTCGGGCTTAATATGAACATCACAATTTGCAGCCCAGACAAATAACCCCCTCGAGGAGAAAAGGTCCTGGAGTTTTGGAGACCAGTTAATGATAATTAAGACTGAACAGTGCATTAAAGGATCCAAAATACTTTCTTCATAACAATCCAGAAAAATCTTCAAGATCTTATTGTAATGCCCCTGGTTCTCAACAGGGAATTTTCTCCTACTTTGCAAAAACTAAATTAAGTTTACTATATAGACTTCACAAGCCAGCATAAACAAGTCATTTTCAAATATGTGAGATCTTCCAAATTCTATGGGTAATATTAACTTCAGCTATCAGAACCTAAAGAACCACACATGCTGAGAATGAGAAGCCAGGTTTTTCCATCCCCTAAAGCAGGGCTACCTGACTTTCTTCTACTTGAGAACCACAGTGGAACAAGCACTGCAAAGCTTCAAATTTTTTTTGCTGTAATTTGTTTTTATTTTAACCATTTTTATGGAAGCTTTTTTATCCATATTTCTTTGAACCTTTAAAAGCTGTTAAACACAGCACTTCTGTAATAATAACAAGAAATGCAAACAAAGTGGATCTCTATGAGTTGGGGAATGGTTAACAAGTTGTAGAGCAGGCAGGCAATGCAGTATGCCTGTGTTATATAAGACATGATTCAGGCAATGCAGTATTCCTGTGTTATGTAAGACATGATTAGCATGAAAAACAGCAATATGGGGAAATGGATACGAATCGATACAAAGTAAAACAAACAGGATCAGGAAAACAATACACATAATAATTAAACCCACATAAACAGAATAACCGAGACTGACCCCAAAGCACAGATGAGACAGTATCTCTCCCCTGAAACCTTGACCCTCTTCTTCCTTACAGGGTGTGGGAAAACCACACATACAAAGTCAGGCTTTTTTGATACTGGTTGGTTTGGCTGAACTTTTTATCCCATTTTATTCTTTGTTACAAAGTGGTGGCTCTCAGGGAAGGGAAAAAGAAGGCATATACCAAGAAATTTAGGTGACATAAAACACCAAAAAAAACTCAATGAAGTTTTAGGTTTTCTTGGTTGTCGTTGATTTTTTTTTCCAAAAAAGCTACTGAACATAATTTAGCCTTTTTCTGCCACCTTCAGATCCATCTTCACTGCAGGGCCATCACCACTGTACAGGATAATTCCACAGTCATGCCTTCAGGGAAGGCAGGCAAGGCCTACTGAGAGCTGGAAGGCATTTGCCCCTTACACAAATCTGAGATTAATGGACTTTTTAAGTTCTGTCATGTAAGTGGTTTTGCAGTTCTTTCATTTTAGTATCTGTCAACATTCACTTTTCAAAAGTATTTCTGCATGCCTACAGAAGACTCTTTCTCCACATTCATCTGTAGCTTTCAATTTCTTATGTTTTATCTGTTCTACTGCTGCACACAGGCACTGGGTAAGGTCCTAAAGGGTATCCCTACGAATAAAGTCCCTCAGTTTATTCTAGAGACTTTGTGACAGAGATCTGGGCTGTTCAGGAACAAGTGGTTGCCAGACAGCTGAGTTCTTGAAAACTGTGCTTTCATTATACCAAAAACTATCTCTGTTCACTTCAACTAAATCTCTTCTAAAAACAACCACAACATTATTGCTTGGCTCTGCCTTGTATTCATTTGGGGGTAATTCTTCAAGATCTTTTGAATCCATTCCTGTCATTTTATCAACAGGACAATTAAGTATTAAATGTTAAGTCCCTACAATGGGCCAGACAAACTGTCAGATAGCCTACTCTTTTTTACCTAACTGAATTCAGGTAAACAGGTACTTTTTCAGTCTTCCTCTACATTGCTAACACTTCCCCTCAAAAATCAGCTTTTAATTAACATCCTAGGTCTACATTAGGGTGAACATTCTGCTTCTCCTCATTATGAGATGGGGGAAACAATCAAGGCTAGGGAGGTTATCACCCAAACAAAACA